GGTGATCGATATTCACGATTGTGTGCATATTATTGTTGAGTGCAAATGCGTCACAAAGCCTCACACTCGTTTCTTAACTAAACTCCTGTCTATGTATTTGCTGAGAGGCTCGTGATTGCATATGTTGTATTTATATTACATGAGCTAACTGGCAACTATTTAAATGATCGAGTAAAACCTCGAGAACTGCTGGAGGCATCGGATGATTGTGATCACAGTGCACTGAAAGTGTGTATTTAGAAATGAATGATAAAAATATAACGAAATTATGTGAATTTGTATGCTAGGAAGAGAATAATTGAAATGTAATATAAAGTGATGATTATTGTATATTTATGATTTTTGTAATAAGTGATATGATGTAATTGTATTATGTTTGAAAGGTAGAATAGTTGTTCACCCTTACACCACTCAACAGATAGCAAAGATGACAACTCATCTCGTGTGGATTGATATAATAGATATTTATGCTAGTAGTATATTAAATTATGTATTTAGGGAATATAGACGTGTTGTACATTTATATTTTAGAATATATTTTGGAAGTGATGGAAAGTACACATTAGAAGTAATTTATAACTATGCAGTTCTTTTTTATTTCCTGACTAGTGGTCAAATTCATCAATATCTCAATTTTTATCTATACCAGATAATAAAGAGACCTTCTCGGATCATAAATAATGTATTTACTTATTATGATCATGATTTGCTGGGAAGACCTCATAGTTATACATTTGAAAGATTCTCTAGTATAGAATTAGTGGCAGACTCTGGTGACGCCTATCTTGGAGAGGACAATGAATTAACAGTTGAGGACTTGGTGAAAATTGAGAGCTGGCATGACATAAATGATTAGTTTCAAATTCTCAATATATGAGAATAAGTATGAAGTGCTGTAAATTTTAATATATTTTGGTAATGATATGTAAATATTATTCTGTAATATATATCATGTAGTTTATTTTTCTAAATTCGTCATGTATACAAATTAACTGTGATGCAAAGTTTTTATCTCTGAAAATTTTGATTAACTATTATAAGGAAAAAGTTTAATTATTTTTTCTAAATTTTATAAAGTTAAATATAATTAACATAAAGAAAAGTAAGGTGTTACAAGATATACAAAATAAAAGGTATATTTAAATAAATGATTTAATTTAATATTTATTTAATAAAAAATATAGCATGAAAATTTAATTATATGCTTTTTGTAACATAGCATGTGACCCAAAATTTTTCTTGCTTCTCTTCTCTTTAATATATAGAAGAAGTAGAACCGAACACTTTTTAATAGTTTTTCTGAATGGCTTATTTTAGTCTCTATATTTATTAAAATTATTTTAATCCTTTTGTTAACCTGATTTATATAAAAGTAATATCTAACATAAAAATTGATATACGACAACGTAACTACATTATTATTTAACATTGACTATAAATTAAAATTAGTATTAATATTTTTAAAAATCTGTATAAACTAAAAAAAATAATTTATAAAGATCAAAATCAAGATACGGTACATTTTGAATAACTAAAAATATATTTAACTCAAATTTTTTTTAAAAGCTATTATTTTGCCTTTAACTCTAAAATAACTTTTGAAGTAAAAAATAAAAGACTAAACACTACCTAAAACATGCTTAAACGGGCTAAAGAAAACCTTTAAACTACTTTTATTCATAAGCTAAAATAAATTTTAGTATTTTTAAATACCTCTTAAAGATAGTGTTGGATTTTAGAGAAAAAAAAAGAAGAATTCTCTTTTTTTTCTATTTTTAAATTTAGATTTAATAGTGTGGCATCTATTGAGTAACAATTTATTTTTAAAATTATATATTTTTCTATTTATATTAAAATAATCAACAAATATTAGTAAAATACTTATTAAAGATTTTTTAATCGAAAGTACTAAATAGAAGGTTAAAAATTTTGACTTTAGAATGCATTAAATATTGTACTTTTTATTGGATATTTTATATTTTTATAAATATCTTTAAACTCTTCGTTCTCATGTAAAGATGAGAATAAACCAAATAACTTAATAGAAATTTATAGTCTAACTTGCATTAGGTCAAATATTCTCAAGATTTATTTCATGAGTCAATGAATGTCATTAATAATAATAATATCTTAATAACATTTGTTGAACTTAATTTTATTTTTATTATATGTTTATATGTGTAACACCTTCAATTTTGTTGTCCTGGTATGAAAAATTAGGAGTTTTGGCACAAGGTATCTCGTTGTAGCGAGAAAGATCATCCAGGTTCTCTGAAGCCTTCTCACTGTAGCGAGAAGTGGATAAGGTTGGCCCAACTAATACTCTCGCTAGAGTAAAAAAATTTTGCTAGAGCAAGGAGATTCTTGCTGCAACAAAAATGATAGATAGCAAGAGAAAAATGATATCTGATGCTGTAGCGAGAGATAACTCTCTGTAGCGAGAATGTCCGAGTTGAAAGCTATTTAAGGGTCTTTAAGCTAGAAAATTTATATTACAATCCAAAGTTTCAACGTCTCCTCTGTTCAACCTAGAAAACTTATATTACAAATCCAATTAAGTTTCTTAGAGCTTAGTTCTCCAACTTCATTCTTGTTTCTTAGTTTTATCTAAACTAAAGTTGTATGCTTTGTAATACTCAAGGGAATCTTAACCTTCAAGGCGATATCCTCTCTCGAAACGTTGTGTCTTTCCCTTAGATCTCTAAGAAAACTCGATCTGAGAGACCTATTTTCAGGTAAGGGAAATTAATCCCAAACCCTAACTCCTTCTTAGTATTTTAGTTTGAAAATACTAAGTTTTCTATGGGGTTCCTAGAATACTAAGGTTTTCTTAAAAATCTAATGTGTAGGAATAAAGAGTTTGACATGAAAACTCCATGCTTATTTTCAAAACTAACTAAATATAATTTGTAATAAAAGCTCTGAACAAAACTATTTCAAGAAATATTATGATTTTACTTTAAACCTTGTTCAAAGGTAATTTAAGATTTACACATTTGATATTTTTGGAATAATAGATATATTATGAATATTGGATGTTACCAAACTTTAGGATAGATAACTGTATAGATCTGTGTGGTGTGAAATTGTTTGAGGTCCTTCTGTGTTAGATATATATGATACTATAAATATGAATGTTTGTTGATGACTAATGTATGTTGAAATACGTGAAATTATGTTATTAACGAAAAGTGTTATATTGTTCTCAAATGAAGAAAGAGTTTTATGTATAAAAATAAATGATATGATATGATGAAGAAAATATGAGAGATGTGATTATAATACATGAGTCAGATAGATTGATGGATGTTATTATGATAAAAGTATTGTGATACATCTAAAGGTGTACTCATAATACATGTATTGTAATACATTAAGTTATATGATCAAGACTTATGTATTATGACACGTTGATCTATGAAAAGGATATGAAAAAGAATGAGAATGATTTGAGAAATGCTGAGAATAAATATAGATAGTCATAGAGATACATTGGGAGTGTGGAAGATTGGGACGATTGTAAAAATTTGAAGAAAATGAAGGTGTTGGATGTTTTTCCATGATTGTGCAAAATTAACAAAAATAGAAAGAAAAAACACCACAAGCCTCACACTCATTTTCTGACCTAAACTCTTGACCATATATTTGCTAAAAGGGGTCAGATCGACACACGTGTATATCCCATATTGCTGCGGCTTAACCAGTAATTATTTATGCTATGAAGTCTTCAAAGGATCTTAGGGGCAATGAATATGAAAGTGTATTAAATGAGAAAGTGTGATGAATATGAAGTAGAATAGAAATTGTATGATTATAATATATACATTATAACATATTGATTACTCACTATTACTATTACTTTCAAGAAGACGAAGTTGAAGAGAATAAAACAAAGATTGGTTTGTTTTAAGATCATAATCTAGTGATATTGGAAGGAACACTGCTCTATAGGGAATAGAATAATTTAAGAAATTGTAATATTTTATCCTAATCACATTTTTATTGACCAAATTCTGTAAATATTTTTAAATGTTAGATTTTAAAACTTATAATACTTTTGTAAATTTTGTTGTAATGAATATTTTGAAAATGTTGTTAATAGTATTCTAAACTTATATGTACAACAGGAACCAAATAATTTGTTAGATGTAAATAAAAAAATTCATTTATCATTTTAAAAATTCTAAAATTATTCCATTGAAAGTTCTAAACACTTTCGAATCCTATAAAATTTCTTAAGAGAAATATAAGTTTTGTTTTTATTCACTTCTCAAATCTATAAAACGAAATAAAATTCTTCTATTTTTCTTTTTCATTATAAAAATTTATTTATTTTTAAATAAAAATTGAGGATGTTACAATATGTAAGTACATATAGACAAAATAAAAATTATATTTAAATGAATAATTTAATTACATATTTATTTAAAAAAATATATCACTAAAAAGTTTATTGTATTTATTCGAGTTCTTATATTTTTAAAAACTATTAATTTTAATCTTAACATGATTTCACAAAAAAGTGATACCTAACACAAAATGTACATGACAACATTTAACCCAATCATTTTTTAAAGCTATTATTTTTAACTTTAGCTGTAAAATAACTTTTCAAATAAAAAATAAAAGATCAAATACTACCTAAAAGTTGCTTAAACAGGCTGAAGAAAACCTTTAAACTACTTTCATTCATAAGCTCAAATAAATTAATTTCATAGGACTTTCAAATACCTTATAAGGGTGGTGTTGGATTTAAGAGAAAAAAGGAGGAACTTTTTTTTTCTATTTTTAAATATAGTTAACATAATATTTATAAAAAATAAAAAAGATTAGGACATTAAGGTTATGTTAATCTATATTTTTATCAAGTAGCTTCAAGCTATATTTCACAACAGTTATGCCTAGATCCTCACTCCACAACTGTTGCCTCTATAAAATTTTGATGTCTCGAAAAGCAACAGCGAAAAGCATGAAGATACAATAAAACAAAATCAATGGTAAGAAGTCATTTATTCTATTGTGTAAAATATAAAAGTAGAAGATGAGTAATGGTATCAATCACAACTGAATTCTGTATATAAGAAAATTGCTTTTATAACATGAACCAACTACGGAAATCTGAAAGATGCTATACAATATTCACTATTTGTCCCACTAAGTATATAAATCAGTATGTTAACATTCGCTTGATATCAGAGAACATATTAGTCAAGCTTGAGAGGAAGTTGTTCCATTTTTCTCCAATTCTCTTTGTCTGGCCCTCTCCATCTTCCTTTTACGCCATTCCTCCAAAGCTGAGAACCACAAACATCAAATTGCCAATATAATGCTGTTAGTATGATTTAAAGCTATGATATTTTTTTTTCCTGAAATATTTTAAGATTCAGAAATGGATATATTGTACAACAAATTATAGAAGAATGCACTGTATACAACAAGCCCTATCATGGATCAAATGAAGCCATTGTACTTTGTAGAAAACAGTATTCAGAAAGAAGCACAGATCCAATGTTGTAAAAGATTCCAGCTTTAAGTTTTAATTTGGATGTGACACAAGTGAAGGACATAAAAGCAAAGAGTAAATTTCACCAGGATTCATTTTAAATATTTAGCTGGCAGAAAACAGTTGCTGGATAAGGTTTTTTGTTTCAGAAGGAAACAAAAACTCGTATGAAGATCTATATTAGGAAACAAATTTGGAGGCATATTAAGGGGTTAACAAAGGCACAGCAGGAGGTTTGCTTAATGGAGTTATATGGTTTGATAGGTTTTGCAAGTGAATACAAAGAACAAATGAGTTGGGATTTGGAAATTAGAAACTTCAAATTATGCCTGCAAAAAGATGCAGATATGCTGTAGACCCTAAATCAGAGAGGATTCTAGGCTTCAAACATAGCGTAACTAAGACATTGTTAAAAGAAAAATTATCTAATTTTGTTGGAATTGCCCATGGATTTGAGAAGTTATCTAATAAATAGTACAAACATTACATAGAATTTACTGCTAATCCTATCTCCGCACTGCTATTGCTACATCGCTATGATTATTAAGTAGTACTCCATGGAAAAAAACTTCCTGAATAAATTCTCTGGCTGAGAACAAGGAAGTGATGGGCATGCATATTTATTGTGTTTATTGTGTAGTTGCACACAAAAGAGAGTTATGGTTGAGATACGTAAGTAGCGAGAAAAGAGAAACACCTTTCAAGCTGGCAGCATCATTCAAGGTACGGAAATCCTTTAACCTTTTGGACAGATCAACAGCAGCAGTCTGCTTTGTGTCCTTCTTCTGGGCTGTTTCTGGTTCGGTGTATACTTCCTGCTCAATCTCCCTCACCTACAATGGAAGATGCTCAGATTCATAGGAAAATGTTTTTTTTAAATAAAAATAAATAAATAAATAAATAAACCTATCCACAAGTTGAACCACTGATGTATACAGCAGCCCTGGCCTTGCCTTAGCCTCCCAAAGGAAGACAAACCAGGACATTGCTATGACAGTTGAGAAAAAAAATCTTGGCCCACCCAAAAGTTTAAAAAAATTTCTATATAAGTTGAATTTTCAGATAAGTATGCCTAAAGTTCACACTGTATGGAGATGATTGCAGTAAAAAATAAGCCACATAGTGAAACTTTGTCAGCATATTCAGGTATTAGTGCTGCCAAATTTCCAAGGTAATTTCAAGGCCTATCATATAGCAGTAGTTGTTGTTTTTGTATGTGTGAATATGTAGCCATGTTGAAGGAACATAATACTTGTTTCTTCACTTCTCAATTCCAATATTAAACCCAGCTATACGTTATCAAACTTTTGAATGTTAAACTCTGGACAACTTAAAGTAAATGGTAGATTGAGTATCTGATTACAAATGATACGATGAGTCATATCAAAAACGCATGTTCTATTAACATGACCAGCTGAAGAACTAAAAATTTACAATTTATATTACTCTGATTAAACTTTGTCGAGGAAAAAATTTCAGAGTCACATAATTGAAAGCTATGAAGTCAATGAACTGCAATATACTGTACTGGTATGTCATTGTCACTAGTAATAAATTCTTTCAAATTCCAATCTGTTTACTGTCAGTTGACTTCACAGAAGAAAAAGAAAAAAAGAACAAACAACCAAAAAAACTGGGATTTGGCTGAGACAATAAAAATTTGAGCATTGTACAAGAAAAATGAGTTTAAGAAAGAATACTGAATTCAAGTTAACTTGAGAGATGCAGAAACACACATATAGAGCTTGCAAGACACTAAACAATCTGTATACAGAAAAACTAGTGTACTAGTTTTCTAATTAAGTGATGAATTGAAACCCACAACAAACTTAGGTTTAATCCAAAACTTATGAGATAAAGTAACAATCAATTTGTCAGAAATATGCACAAATTGTTTTGTTGTATGTCTCTCTATATATATTATAGACCATTGGCATCTTTACCATCCTTAAGTTAATGTACAACAAACACAATTACAATAAATATAGTTAAAAACAAAACTAATTCCAAACTCACCCTTTTTATCAGCTCCACTGGTAACATGGCAAGACGAATCTCTTCAGATTCCTTAATGTAACTGAGTTCTGCAATTCAAAAATTAAAACAAAGAACACATAATACAAGCAAGTTTAACAAATACTTCACAGTGCACTGGTATATCGGTCTATTATATAGACATTTCATAAGTAAAACCAATGTCAGTTCCAAGATGCCTGTTTTGACCAAAGTTCAAAAATAGAATGCTTTCATTCTTATCTGTCAATTTAACCAATGCTAGGGATAAAAACTTATCCTTGATCTGGCATGCAACAATAAAAGATTTTGGGAAAAATTGATTCCTTGGCATGGAATAAAATATAAAACCTGAAGTTAAGTATTTGTCATCCCAATTCTTCAAAATTCAATACAAAGGATGGAAATTGGACTCATGCTTTGTTGTATTTCAAGAGTAAGAAAATCCTAGTATTGGATATTTGGCTTCTATGCTATTGTAAACTGTATTTGGTAGCACTAGCACCACATTAAAAGAATCTAAATGCACATTTTGTAGGTAACCGCTTTCGAAAGATGCTATTGTTTTCATAGCATAGCATCCTTATGATCATTCAGTAATATTGTTTTCGCCATAGCAAAATGACCTAAAGCCCGGATTGGATCATCTCATGTTATTCCCTCATTTTTTTATCTCGTGTTGTGACAGAAAACAAATTATAGTATGAACAGCTATTATAGAGTCCTAAACTTGTTTTTTCTTGTAACATGAGAGGATTCAAATCCAAAAGCTCTGAAAATTCAGACTCTAGCCACAAGTTCAAACTTCATCACTTAACTTGATCTGAGAAAAATATTGAACAACACTCACATATTATTGTGGACAGTCAGCAAGCAAATTAAATATCACAATCGATTTCAAGAAATCCATCTGCTGATTTTATCATCAGTACACCACGCATCCAAGACAACTCAAACTCGTAATTCTAAGGCCTAAGAGCCACCAAATACAAAAGTTTCTTGCATCAAAATAAAACCTTTTAAAAATAATATTAAAAGAATATGCCAAATCACAATATATCAAAATTAAAAAAAAAAAAAAAAGAATAAATTCAAAATCAAAAGAACAACAAACTCATCCCCCTTTCCCCCTTAGTAAAATCACACAAAAAGCTATCATCTTTACACACACCACTCCCCCAAAAAAACAGTCCAAACTTTAAGGCATGATCAAGGAAAATATCAAATACCCACTATACAATTCACCTAAAAGGGTAGGAAAATCCACAAGAAAGAGCGAAATTCCAATTCCAATTCCAATTCCAATTCACCTGAGTTTGAGTTAGCGTTGGAGAATTTGTTGCGGGTGTAGGCAGAAGTGAGAAAGGCATGAAGCAAGAAGATTACAGTGATTATGTTGAGGAAACACACAAACATGGTTGCATTCCTGAAGGAGAATCTGAGCCTCCACCATTGCTGAACCTCCATTTTTTGTTAACTCCAAAACAACACGCACATAGATTATGACAATCACTTTGATTTCCTATATTCACGCCGCGGGGACCTCAACGTGACTCCAAATTTGCCCACTTGTTAAGAAAGGAAAGTCCTAGCTACTGATTTGGCTTCACTAAATATTATTCCAACCACTGAATTTAGTTGGTGTTTTAAATATTTTATTAAATATTAATTTTATTCTTTTCTTTGTATTGTCTGAAATAATCTATCATTTTTATTGACTGAATTAATGTGTAAAATTTTTTAACTTTGATGTCAATTTTAAATATTAAAAATTAAACTAATGTTATTTTTTTAACTTTGTTGTTTTGTGTATTAAAAAAAAAGCTTCTAAGAATTATTTCTCATAATTCAAGTATATTATTATTATTATTATTATTATTATTATTATTATTATTATTATAAAACACCTTCTCATTTATCATTTTAGAATATATTTTTTAAAATATAAATGATCTTTTTCTTTGTTTCCTTTTTTATTAATAATAAAATAATAATATTCAGATTATAAGACACGTCTCAATTTAAAATTAAAAGAATAAAAATTTTAGCTTTTACTCATATCATTTTATTTTTTTAATTTTGGTATAAAAATAAAATTATATTTTAATTCTCACATAAAAAATTATAAAATTACAGGTAATTTTTTATTATTATTATTATAATGATAGATTTGATATTTATATTTAACCATATATTTTTCTTTCGTCTAAAATAAATTTATATTTTATTTTAATTGCATTAGTTATATTTTTTTATCTTTATAAAAATATCAATTTTTGAGATAAGTTAAAAAAATTGTTAGAATTTAATTTTTATAATCAATTATATGTTGTTAAGTGATAAGTTGAAAAATAGAATTAATCCATCACAGTCGTATTATAGTTATTTTTTATATTTTATTATTTAAAAATTAATTTTTACAAAAAAAAAGTTTTCAAAAGTATTGATATTATTTTAAAAAAATTAAAATTAATTCAAATCATATTTTTTTTATTCCTTTTTCTTGGGTGTTAATTTTTTTCTTTGAGTTATAAAATTTTAACTTAACATTTATATTACCTGTTTAAAAAATGAATTAGATTTTTTAGTCTGATCCATTTAAGAGTAGGCCAGTAGACTAATGAGTTGGTTCACTAAAAATCAAAAAGAAAAAATGGTGGGCCATTGGATTAATGGGTCAGCTCATAAAAATTAACAAAAAATAAAAAATATTCTTATATTAATAAAATTAATATTTAACTAATAAATGATTATTTTTAAATTTTTAAAAATAAAAAATAGGGCCCAACAAGTTAGCCTGCCATTGACTCGCATTTTGACAAGCTAAAACAAGCAGGCTGGATAGGTTGGTGGATCCAAATATTCAACTCGCCTCTCCAATTTTGGTAGATTAGATGGGTCAACCTGTCAAGGCAAGTCTATTTTGACAACTCTACTTGTTGCTCTTCAAAAGGTTTTAATAGAGTAATTAAAAAAATAGGATAGCAACAAATTAGAGAGCCTAACAACTACTTCCTTTCACCTAAGTTAATGTGTAGTTATAACAGCAAAATTTGATCATCATCACACCTTTCTGCCTCACCATCTTCCACTCAGCAACTTTAGTACCTAATTAATTATTCACCCCTAATTTTGAAGTTCAAATCTTTATCATCAGTCTCACCCCCACCCTTAAAATCCAATTTGTTTTGAACATCCTTCGCCAATCCTTCAACAACTTGGTTAAGGTGATTAAGATCTAAGGCTTGAGGACCATGATGGTGAGAAAGAAGGGAAGCAGGTTCACCCAATTGAGGGTCTTTGGTGGAGGAAGTAATTGATTTGGATTCAAAGGGTACCATTGTCATCCTTATCATGACTGGTGTTAGTGTTATTCTCTTCATTGCTTGTTTCTTAGGGTTGCATGCTCCTAGCTTAATGTTGTCCTTGTCATTGCTCACTTTCTCTTTAACTCTCCCGATTTCATCAATTTGCACCCTAAGTTCATTGTTCTCAAGTTCTTACAAGTCATTCATCATTCCTTCACTTAGTCCTTTTACGCATGGGGAAAACACAACCTTCTCTAAGAAAAAAGGGTACTATGCGAATTTCAAAAGACATTATTTTAATTGAAGTTGTATTGTGTCTGAGAATTGAGTTTTATTTTATTGGCTTAATTATATTTTTTATCCCTATAATATTGGATATTTTGTGATAAGTCTTTATAATTTTATTTTTTTAAGATTTAGTCCTTGAAAAGTTATGAAGTTAGGATTTAGTCTCTATCGTCAATTTCCTTCTATTAAGTATTGAGTTGACTAAGCCTATGTGACACCCACATGATATGTCATGTCATTTATTTTTTGTTTTATTATTATTTAAATTACATAATTGCAAATAAGCTCTTAAATATATTTTATATAATTGCATAAAAGCTCCTATAACTTTTTTTCTTTCTTCTTTCCATGCCCCTCTTCTCCCCTTCTCCACACCCCTTTCTAGCACCCCCTTCCCCAACTCCACCATTTTCCCCTTCCCTATAACCCCCTCTCCATCCCCCATACTCCTATTCCTATCCCTCCTTTTCCCTACACTCCTACCCCCTTTTGGCATCCCTTTCCAGACCCCACCCCACCCTCCCTTCCCCTCCCCAACTCCTCCTCACCTCTAACTCCAACTTCCACACCTACCTCACCCCTCCTTCTCCCTTCTCCAACCCATGTAGTAAAGAACTTCCACAAAGTCAGAATAGTAATGTGTTTGGACATAATAATCAAAAGCAAAATAGCATTACCATCAAAGGTAAATCAACTTCTAAAATAAATTTTAATAAGTCAACAACATAAGCTTTGTCTTTAGAAAGTTCTATTGGAACAAGACAAAAATAAGGGTGTTATAAATATCAATATTCAACCAAAAAGGTCAAGCCCTAGGGCAACTAATAACCAAAAGGAGTTTCCACGATCCAAAATAAAGTATCTACCAAAAGAAAATTTATAATAGCAGAGATGTTCTTAAGGCAAGAGGTCCTGATAATGAAGTGAATAGTTCTAAAAGTAAGTCCATTAAATGTAATTTTACAACTGATGGAAGTTTTGATTAAGATGCATTTAATATGAAAGAGAGCAACGGAGAAAGGAAGGGGAAAAGGGAAGAGAAGACTCATTTGCAACTATGTAAAATGTGTTCATAGACTTATTTGTAAATATTAATTTTAAATAATAAAAATAAATAAATGACGTGACATGTCATGTAGGACTGCTAAGCTAATTATTCGTCAGTCAGCTCAATACTCAACAGAAAAAAGTTAACAACAAGAACTAAATCCTAATAAAAAATTTTATAAAAATTTATCACAAAATACTCAATATTTATAGAGACAAAAAACATAATTAAGCCTATTTTATTTTATAAGAAAATTATGAATATGGTTAATTGGTTTTACTTACTAGTAGGAATTGGAAAATAAGGTTTATAACAAAACGAAAACATTTGATTTCATTTGAATGCTAAGTATTGGAACCTATAACAGGTCTTGTGAATTAGTTTCTCAACCTTTAGGTCATTGAAGAAAGGGTAACATAAGTATTGTAGTAAAGTAGTGAAAGTAAAGTAGCATTGAAAAGTCTCTCAATAATCATAATCGATACGGCGATTCATTGTCTAAAGTTCCAAAAATGAACATGTACATATTCATACCCAATGTTACCTTAACTTTCTTCCACTTGCTTCCTATTCTTTCATCTTCGAACTCAAAAATACCACAAACCCACAAACCAAAAACTCAACCCACCAAATCACAAGTCTCAAGTGATAAAAAGCTTATGTGTTAGAGAGTGGAGTGTTGGTAGAGATGAGGATAGTGATTTTGTGAAGTTGCAGAGAATGAGAGAGGACAGTGATTTTTTATAAATATGAATTTTTAAACAATAAAATATTAAAAATAATAATAGTGTAATTGTGTAGACTTACATTGTCCAATTTATTATTTAATGAAGGATAGTTGACGAAATAGATTAATTCTAAATATTTTAAAAATGTCAAAGATTAAATCTAAGTGATTTTTTAAAAATTAATTTTAAACGCATTAATTCTTAGGGACTAAAATATAATTAAGCTTATTTTAATCACTACACTTTATTTTATGCACTTAAAAAAAAAGTTTTGACACAATACCTGTCAATAAAATATAACACTATTATAATATCAATAAACAACAAGGATTAATTTTTAATTATTTATGTAGAAACTAAATATATATTTTTTATGTAAGGATCAAATAAAAATAATAAAGAAAATTTATAGACAAAATTTTTCATTTAACTAAGAAAAAAATATAAATTTTAGTTAATTAAATATCAATTCATGTATGATAAATTAAAACTTTCAAGGTGAGATAATGTCATACCGTATTCTTTTCCTTCTTAAGAAATATAGGTGTCTAATTAAAAAAAAAATTGGTTTCTTTTTAAAACAAATTATTTTATTATTTTTATTTCATGTTAAAAGAGTCTCTTTCTACCTAAATGTCAACGGCCAATACTCTTTAATGGCTTAAACTCTCATATTTTCATTTCTTTCAAATCTATATTTAGATATTCATTAAGAGCAAAGACTTATGTATATTCTCCCTAAAGTGTAACACTTCATTTTAAATTTGTGTTCTTTGAATTACCTTGTTTATAATTTTAAAAGATTTTTTCACTTAATATACACTTTAAGATTTTAAATGAATTAATTGTGCATACTTTTCGCATAACTTTAAATATTTTTTCACATTTTAAAATTAAAATTACTAGAACATTGTAGGAATACTTACTAGTTATAATTGTAACAAGACTTAATGAAAAATTATCTGAACTCTTGTACTGTCTTTAAGAAATTGAAGCTAACTTATAATATTTTAATAGTTTTTCAAATATAATCATCATATTACCGTCAATATTAATTCTAAATAATAATGTGTATTGCATTCGATAGGTTAAGTAACTAAATATTCGAGTATAAATTATATTTATATGATCTCCTATACGTTAGGAAGATAACCGTAAAATTTATCAAATGATTTAAAAGCAACGGTAATAATAGCCCTTCCATTTTGATACCTTTTTTAATCAAGATAAAAATATCGCCTTTAATAAATATACACAAGACTTGATTGTTTCTCTTTCATAATGAATCATAATATATATATATATATATATATATATATATATATACACTAATATAAATTATATTTATTCTTATACTATTAATAATTTAATATAAAAATAACTTTTATTAATCTAACCGCTAAATTATAATTATATTATTTAGATTATTTATATCAAATTTTGTCAAAATTGAACAACTAGACCATTACAATTAAAAGGTTCTTATTTTCACATAGTTCAAATATATATAATACATTAAATTTGATACCTTACGTATCAAATAATTTTAAATCAATATTAAATTTTGCATAGTTTTAAAATTAAATTATCTAATAAAAAATTCATAAATATTGCAAGAGTGAATGTTAGATTACTATAATTTAAAATTGTAGAACCCAATATCCAAGCAATTGAGTTCAGTAATGCATTTTTAAATTCTCAAACAAATGGATATTAATCTTTTAAAGAGTACAAAGAAAATATAAGATAAACTAATGCTACCAAAATGAGTGAGTTCAATCAAGTTGACTCAGATAAGCATGCCAAAATATAGGAGTTGAGATTTAAAACTTAAAGCCCAAATAAAACTAGCCTGTTTAGTACAACTCATTCAAGCCTACGCCCAAAACATATGTATGAGCTAATGCAATTAAATTTGAGCTACCTGTCTTTTTTTCTTTTTTTTCAAACTTCTTTTCATATTTTCTTAAATTTTATTATTCGTAATTTCGTAAAATCTTAAGTGAACATGATGTGACTTGTGACTATACTAAAAAGGCTTAATTTGAAAGACAAATGACTTTCTCACAAACTCATTGTTCACGGTCTCAATCTCAATGTATTGACTGTGTAAGCGGTGGAAGATATAGTCACTCTGATTGATTATTTCACATGGTGCTCCATTTAATATTGTTGTGTAAAGGGTGTTTAAGAAAATATTAAAAAATTTGGAATGAAGAGTATAGGTTTATTACTTAAGATACTACTAAAACTGATGTTACTAAATAAAATTCCCTAGTACGTTACTAAACAAAATCATGGATTTGTACGTGTATCCTCTCTCAATAGGCCAAATAAATAGGGGAGGGGAATCCAAATGTGTTCTAACATTTGAAAGAAACCACAAGCTGACACCATTCTTACCATGAATTCTCGGTGCTAGCAAGCTGTGTTAAGGAAATATCATTTTAAGTTAGATGGGGAGGGGAGTCCATAAAAGACATTCTTTAAAGAATATAATAGACTTTTTTTACTTACTTACAAGCTAATGAACAATTTCCACATTTGCATGTGGACAGAAATGCAGCTGCAGCAACTAATTCTGACAAAAATGCTGCGGACATTGCTTCCTAAACTTTTAACATAAATATATTAAGACGCATAAAACTGGCAAAAGCACAACATTTACGTAGATGGTCAACGTTTATCAATGAATTATGCATAAAGGTTGGATGTGCCAAAATTCCTATGCTTACCATCAGCTGTATTGCTCAGCTGGAAGCCTCGAGTAGAAAGCTGGTTGATGAGCAGAGATTCTAATTGGCATGCCATGCTTTTTCCTGGGACAAGGAAATAAAGGAATGATGCATCATGCATTCCTTCCATCAACCGATGTGCACGAACCCGGCCCTCAAGATCATCCGTCTATCAACAGTTCATCCCAACAGAAAAGAGATCAACTAAAAATTGGCAAACATTCTCAAAAAGGGACTGCATAAAATCATGACAGCAACTTGTAATTTGCAACATTCATATAACATTCGTCATAAATTACAAGTTTTTATTATGGTGCTAAAATCCATGACAAATAAAATGTAGGGAAAAAGCAATAATATACAAGGACAGCAAGAAGAGGATAGACACCACAGTCCCCAGACAGGAACTGTGGATCCCATTATATAATTTTTATTTGTCTGTCTGTCTTTCCAAATTAACAGGAATTGCTAGGATCAGCTATCAATTATATACTGGTTTTGGTTTAAAAATGTCACGACCTGTTATTTTTTATGTCAGCTCCTACTCCATTGGGAACAAAAAGATAAAGAAAAATGCTAGATAGTCAGAATTAATTCAACCGAATAGGAATCAGGATGAGTTGGTGTTCTCATTGATTCTTTTATGAATTATGAATCAGGTTCTACCCCTTTGTCTTATCCAACAACCAACCTTAAAAATAGGTAAATTTTGTCCATATTGTGTCAACTTTTTTCCTGGCATTGCAGTACCACTCATAAGGAAGAAAGAAAATAAACAAGGAAAAAGAGAACTACTTCAAATTATGAAAACATAATAAAAGTTGGGAGTTACCTCTCCTACATATAGTTTCTTATCTGGTCTGAGTATCACATAGACGCTTGAAGAACCTACAACCGAGGGAGGTGGCTGCTCCCTTGTACCAATAAAGATACACTTTATTTCAGTAAGCTCTGATGCAATCTTTTTACTTTGTTGTTCCATAATATGATCCTGGCATATCACAGTGACAGCACTCTCAACTTCCATGCGTAAAGCATCCATTTGATTAGCTCCTGGTAAAACCGTTTTTGAATGAAGATGTGTTCCGTTCAAATTAACATTGATGTAAGTAGAATTTTTTTCCTGATTTGGGAAATTTTCTGCAGAAAGAAGTTCCTTAGCGTAAACTGACACATAAAGATCTTCAGCTCTTCTGATAATAGGCTCAGGAATTCCTTCCCTCTTGGCAGTTTCAAAAGCAAGACTTTCTTTACAGACTCCATCTGTCAGCTTCCATGTAGGCTTTGTTTGTCCATCAATGCACACTGTGCCCATTGCTTTGTGCACAGTGTTCTTGATATTCAGAGGCAAAGTAAATATTCCATGCAAGTGAGTGGAAACAATACCCAGACACCCAATTCTATCAAGAGTTTCGATGATGCTACCAGCAATACAAGTTCCTTTTGCAGTTTCTGTTCCTCGGCAAATTTCATCAACAAGTACAAGGCTCCTTTTTGTGGTTCCAGCAATGATGGATCGAATTTCTGACATTTCCACCTGAGACAGATATTAAGATGGATGAAATGTTCAAGGTATTCGTGAAATTGTAGATCCATAAAGCAACAAGACAACTAACCAATTTTAGGCAATATTATGTTAACTCCCCAGGGGTTTGCTAATTCCATAACGCCACAGGCAACTAGTCCTCCCTCTGGTTTCACAAATTACATTCATCCCTTCATGTATATTTTATCTATACATAATTGTACAGTAGTGGGTATGCAGAGGTGGATGTGAATGCAATTTGGTGCAATTTTAAATAACGGGAAGTTATTACAGCAATTTCTGACAGCAGAAGAGATACTACTCTGATATTAGCAAAGTTGTAGAGCGCTCAATGTAGGATTTATGTTACACGAAACTCAAATGAGAAAAATTCAAGCATCTGATATCATATTCTTCATTTACAGCCCCTTATTATTGTTGACATAATACACATAATAGCTAGTTGACTTTATTTTCAATTTGTGGGATAAGGCTTGAATGTTGTTGATAGGACTGGTACAGAATACAGAAAAATAGTTCTTGAAATTTTATTGAAGAACCCTAATTCCCAAACCAATATCATGTAGATAGAGATTCGGGACATAGGCAGAATCTGTACACTTAGTATTCCAGAGTTATTTGAGAGAACTCCACTCTCCTTACCTTTCCCAATTATCAATTACAAAAAACATATCCTTCACTAATTTCGTCACATGCCATTTATACAGAAACTTAATACAACAAATTACCATTGGCCTACCCCCAATGGCTATTTATCCAATTTCCCACCTATTCCCTTCCATTTCTTCCAATGGTATACCTTTCTGAACTTATCAATACCCCCACTCCCCTCGAAGAGCCACCTTGTCCTCAAAGTGAAAATTAGGGAAAACTTCTTAGATTGTGGTAGCAGATTCCCAGCTTTTCTCACACTTCGGAAGCTGTTTCCATTTGAGAAGAAATTTTAACTCCCCTAGGGAGGTAATCCTTGTATCAATTAGCTGGTCTGGAGTAACATCTAGAACGTGCTCCTCAAATAACATGAGAGGCAAAGGTTTTGGCTTGGTGGTAGGATGCACGGCTGGCTTGAGGAGAGACAGATGAAAAACAAGGAGACATCTCTGTAGCTGCACTTCAATTTGTGTTGAACCAGAACTCAACCCAACTTAACCAATCCGGCCAGGTTTTTCTGTCATGCAACGTAAGTCTCCAAACAACAATTCACCACTTCCGTTTGACCATCCGTTTGAGGGTGGTAAGCTGTACTAAAATTCAGTTTCGTGCCCACTTGCTTGAACAATTCTTTCCAAAAGGTACTACGAAAGACTTAATCTCAGTTTGAAAAAATAGTCAAGGGAAACCCATGAAGTTTGACAATATTGCAGACAAAAAAGTTGGGACATATCTGCAGCAGTGTTAGGGTGAGTGAGAGGCAGAAAGTGTTCATATTTGGTGAGCCTGTCCCCCACCATTAACATAGTGTCCTTCCCTCTAACTTTGGGTAGTCCTCCAATGAAGTCCATGGATATATCTGACAAGACCTGTGTCGGAATGGGCACTGACTGTAACAATCTTGCAGGAGGGTCTCATTTTTATATGGTTGACAAATCTCACATTGTGTCACAAATTCCTTGATATCTTTTCTCATTCCTCCCCAATATAGAACACCTGCTACCCTCTTAAACGTTCTGAGATATCCAGTATGACCACATATAGGGGAAGAATGTAATTCCTTAATGATCTCTTGAATTTGTGGAAAACTCCTAGCCAATACCAGCATAGTTGATAATTTGCATGTGCTCTAGGATCCACCAATAATTTTTGCATTAAGGTAGAAAATCTAGAGTCCTTCTGTATTTCCAAATCCAAATCCTCTACTCTTCAGTCTGCAACTTTGACATGGCAGAGAAAGGTATACAAAGGGCTGAGATAACATGACCCAAAAACAACATGACCAAAATTGCATTTTTTCCTGTGTACCTTTCAACTGAATCTTCTTGAGCACAATAAGTACTTTGTTAAGTGCTGGACATGCAGTTCCATCAAAGGGCTAAACACCAAAATGTTATCAAAGAAGACGAGGAGAAATTTTCTTAAAAAAGGCTTAAGTACCTCATTCATAAGAGTTGGAATGTTGAAGGTGCATTGATCAAACCAAATAGCATGACCAAATACTCATAATGTTTGAAATGAAAGTTCCTAAACCTTTTTGGGCTGATGTTGTTTTTACTACTGCATATTTAATTAATCGCATGCCATCATCTTTGTTACATGGTGAGATTCCCCACTCTATACTTTTTCCATCACAATCTCTCTTTTTTTTACCTCCTAAAGTTTTTTGCTGCACTTGTTTTGTGTTTGATGTTCGTCTTTAGGTAACTAAACTTGATCCAAAGTCCTTAAAATGTGTGTTTTTAGGTTATTCTCGATCACAAAAAGGTTTCCGTTTTTCTCCTGATCTTGGTCGTTATCTTCTGAGTCCATGTATGGGGTAGATGAACCTTTCTTGACTTACACTATTGTCCAATCTACACATCTTGTTGCACCTCTAGCTCCTGTTGATACAATTTCAAATTCTTTGAGCAGACATACTCTCCTGGCCGAAACAACCTTCAAATGATGTGTCCCCTGTGCCTAATGATATTTAAGATGGTACTCAACCTCTATCATTATCTCCTCAAGTGTCAACAGATCCTATGTTTGACCTTGACCTTCCTATTGCTATCCGTAAAGGTAAAGAAATCTTGCACCTATCCTATTTCATCTTATGTAACGTCTGCTCATTTATCTTATATGTCTAAATCCTTCATGGCTAGTGTAGACTCTCTTTCTATTCCTAAGACCTTTGCAGATGCCCTCAGTCATGATGTTTGGCGACATACTATAGTGGAAGAAATGTTGGCTCTTGAGATATACTTAGGACTTGATTCCTCTTCCCAAGGAAAACAAGCTATTGGTTGCAAGTGAGTTTACATTGTGAAAGTTAATCCAGACGGTTCTATGACTCGTCTAAAGGCACAACTTGCTGCAAAAAAGTATGTTTAAACTTATAGCGTTGACTACATTGATATATTTTCTCCCGTTACTAAACTCTCATCTGTTCGCATCTTCATCTCTCTTACAGCTATGCATCATTGGCCATTATTCCAATTAGATGTGAAGAATGGAGACTTACAGGAGGTGGTGTACATAGAGCAACTACCTGGCTTTGTTACTCAGGGAGAGTGTGGAAGAGTGTGTCGTTTAAAGAAGTCATTATATGGCTTGAAACAGTCACCTAAGGCATGGTTTGGGAGATTCAGTGACGTGATTCTGAAATTTGAATTAGTGAGGAGTAAGAGTAATCATACAGTGTTTTATAAACAGATTAACTTTGGTTGTATTTTACTTATTTTTTATGTTGATGATATTATTATTACAGGTAGCGACAAGGAAGGAATCAGCAACCTAAGAAAATTTCTTCAAACTAAGTTTCAGACAAAAGACTTAGGAATTATGAAATACTTCTTGAGTATTAAAGTCATGTACTCAAAGCAAGGATTCTTCCTTTCACAAAAAAAATGTCTTAGACTTATTGACTAAGACTGGACTAAAAGGAGCTAAACTATGTGAGACACTTATGGAGCCAAGAGTGAAACTGATAGCAGATGGAGTTCCTTTTGCAGATCCACAAAAACATAGAAGATTAGCAGATAAGCTGAATTACTTGACAGTTACAAGGCTGGATATTGTTTTTCCAGTGAGTGTTATTAGCCAGTTTATGTCATCTCCAACGGATACTTATTGAGCGCATTTTAAAGTATTTGAAGAAAGCACCAAGAAAAGGAATTGTATACAAAGATGATGGACATGCACAGATAGAGGCGTTTTCTAATGCTGATTGGGCAGGATCTATGGACAGAAAATTTACTACCATATACTGTGTGTTCTTAGGAAGTAATTTAATTTCATAGAAAAGTAAGCAAAACGTTATATATGGCTCAGACTACCTGTGAGTTAATGTGATTGAAACATATGTTGGAAAAGATAAGATTTAGCAGCACTAAGCCTATGCAACTTAGATTACCAAGCAGCGATATACATTGCCTCAAATCTAGTTTTTCATGAACGAACGAAATATATTGAGATACATTGTCACTTTATTCGAGAAAAAGTTCAGCAGAAGCTTATATCCATCTCTCATATGACCAACTAGCAGATGTGTTTACAAATACAAAGGCTTTAAATGGGACACATAGCAATTATATTTGTAACAAGCTAGGCATGATTAATATCTATACTCCAACTTGAAGAGGAGTATTATGAATAAGTATAATATACTTATTAAGATTAGGGTTAATGTTAGTATTATAATAACGATTAACGAGCTTGTCCAATTAGGGTTACATATGTATCCTTATAAATATAAGGGTCTCTACACATGGTAGAGTATCTATCTAATTCTAGCTACAGCATACTAATCTGTCTCTCTCTCTTTCTTAATTCTACACTTTTCAAGACAATAGCTTGATCAAATGCTAAACCTAAAGAACCATAAAGCAATCAACATTATATAAAACCCAATTGATGAACAACAAAAAAGTATGAACCAGTAGCAAACCTGAAAGGAACTCTTTTTATCAGCAGGACTATCATATGACTTCATATGAAGCGTGATAGAGTCAAAATAAGGAATTGAGGCTGATTCAGCAGGAACCATGAGTCCACAAATCCCAAGTAGAGCAGCAGCACAAATTGATCGAAGTAAACTTGATTTTCCACCACCATTTGGTCCTGTCAAAAGAAACAATGATTGCATATCTACAATATTACGCACAACACCTCCTTCTGCTACGTGGAACCAATATGGTAATAAACCCACTATCTTCATCCCATGGATTTTGTCCAACATCACATCCTACAATAATTGATTAAAATTGTAGTCATTCCATTATGAAGGCAAACAAGTCATTAATAATAAACAACTAAAACATTGGGTCATAGACTAAAACACATCACACATAAAAAACAAGCATTGTCATATAAACCCTGCTTCAAAACTACCTTCTCACAGGAATGTATATTGCTGGAATTTAAACCCAAAAAAAAAAAAAAAAAACAAAGTAGAACATCTTAGCTAGAGGTAATGATTTCCCCAGCTCCCAAGCAGAATGCCAATTGGTAAACATAACAATGTCATGCCAGTCACAACTACCCATCAGTCCAAGAACATTACTTGTTCTTTGAAATACTCCCCACATACGCACAAACAACCTTTCCTACTTTTTTGGGGCACAATTGCTTCATGCCGCTATCCGGGATTGACTAGTCTTGCTTCAAATTTACTTTTAGTTGGACAATTGGCAGAATAACAACTATATTGTTAATCTCTCTCAGACTGGTTGTGTTTGTGGAGGATCATGCGTCAAGGGAAGCTACTCACAAGGGGCCTAAAGTTGACAGATTGTTTCCACCTTATTTTTCACTAGTACATTTTTCTTTTGCATGTAATGGGGATCCTAAATAAATGAGGATTGGCATAGAAAGTTGGGTCACCCAAATTCTACTATTTTCTCTTCCTTCATGACTTTTCAACATTTTCTTTCTATAATCCAACTCCTTTTTAAGAAGAGAAACTCTACACTCATGATAGGTAGAAGGCTTTATAAGTGTAACCCATAATCTCCAACAATTTCAATCATTAACTTGAAGATTTTTTAGAGCACAACATTGAAAGCAATTCCATTTTTATAGAAGAATCACTTTATGTACTAAATTGTTCTTGCTCTTGCCTCCTTGTCACAAGCGACACTTATACTTGTTTTATCTTTGTCTTTTCTTATTTGATGGTTGTTTCTAGACTATTTAACAAAAATAAATCCATGGGACCCCCAACATCTTTGGCTATTTTGGTGGCAGCACTAAGGTAAGTTGATGTTGCACTTGAGGTTGCTAGTCTTTTTTCATGACAAATAATCAAATTCTCTTCAACCTCTTCTTCCTCATCATCATTTTCTTCATGCTCAACAAGGTATGCATTTTTCTCAGCTTTCTTCTTTGCATGAGTTGCTATAAGTATTTCTTCCACTTCTTTACAAATCATTGGACAGCTATTACCATCTTCCTTCACTCCCATTTAATATCTCTTGACTCGGGGGTAATATCACCGGTAGTAGTTTTGCCACAAAAGTCACAAGTAACAACCTTTCTATTATTGATGTCTTTCAAGTTATTTCATTGTCAACCTATAACCAAGTTATTACCTGTTGGCTTAACCAATGCATAAGAAACTGAAACAAATTGAGGGAGTAGCCATTGCTTCTATTTCAAACATTCAAATTTCAATCATTTGGAGGGCTTTAGCAAAGAAAAACAGAACTGAAAAGAAAAACAGAAAGCAAAGTAGTCTCACTACAAAAAGGCCACAACACAGATGATCTCATTAGAAAACTTTTGAGTCTTGCTGAAAATGAAGATGACTAGAACTTGGCTTGAAATAGTGAACAATGCCTGATTTTGGCCAGAAAACAGCCCTTAAAAGCCTTCTAATGTTCAGAAAGTGTACGTAAACTTGACTTTTTTGTCCTACTACATATGGCAGCTGTGGTAGCCGTGATTCGTGCCCCTCCAGCTGCTACACAAAACTGCAACACTATCTACTTTATGTCATGGTAGGGAGCCACTCCAACACAATGCTATTGCACAATATTAACTTCTATGATCCCATTAGGAGGTCAAGTAGATGGATCACACAATACTGTTAAGTTTTAAAGAAATAACACATCAAAAAAGGAAAGTTGTAGAAATGAGAATGTTAAGATGAATGTAAAGTCACAAAAAATGATAGGATAAGAAATAACTATATGAGAAGATATTGAAAATAGCACCTATGCAATAAAAAATAATAGAAATAAGGTGATTTGGACGTGTAGAAAAAGCCACTCAAACATCAGTGAGGAGAGTGGATGGTATGGTTTTTAACCCTATGAAAAGAGGTAGGAGACCTAAGAAAGCTATTAAAAGAGATTTGATGTTAAATAATATTTCAGAGAATTGGGTTTTTAAGCAAATCCAGATACATAGTATGATCCATATAGCTGATCTCACGTAATTAAATAAGATTTTATTGTTGAAGGAGAAGGAAACTAAAAGGGGCAGCAAAGTCAAGTACAGAGATGAAGTTTCATGTGATGGCAGACAAACTGTGTGATAGAACTGGACCAAAGAGATTAGAAAACAGAAAAGAAAATGCAAAGAAAAGAGACAAAATCCAAGAAAGAATCATGTATTATTGAGAAATGACTCTGGTTGGGGAATTGATACCCCTACACAGGCAGAATGCTTTACAACAAATCTTTAACAGTCCCTATCAGGTATTTGAGAGCCTGATATCTCATAGTCCAATCCAAGTGATTAACCAAGATGTCCCCCACTTCCCTCTCTTTCTCCTATTTATTCCTCACTTGTGACTGTTGTATTAGAGTTAGTTATCAGTTATTCTATTGTATTATAGTCTAATTATTTTGTGAAAAGAAATTAATTAGAATTTACTTAGTCTAGCATATATAATGTTTTGTTGAACACAACCTTATATCATCAACTTCTTCAAAACATTATTATTCTCTTCATTTAAGCATATTAGTTCTTAATAATGCTGTACAAACAGATTTACAATATATAGACCTCTGCTCATAACAACTTGCCTAGTATAGAGCTGTATTATAGGGTAAAAGCTTGTCCTGATAAAGTAAAATAAAAAACATATCTGTAGAAAATAAAATTGGAAATAATGAAATAATAGAAATTAACTCGCAAAAATATACAATATTCATCTATCAATGATATGAACAGGCACTATCAAGTTGTTATATACTACCTCAAACCCATGGGATTCTACAAGTGTGGGAAAGACCCATCTCCTTCTTCTCCCTTCACTGCAAGAAATCAATGAACAAATTAGCATAAAACTTGCAAGACTACAAAGAGAACACCAAATGATTTTGTTATTTCAGTAAGATAAACTTAGTTCTAACCATTTTATAATTCCAAATTTCAAAACATAATAGAATTGGGTAACAATTTTTATAATATCTAATTATGATAGAAATTGGTTCAGATATTGAAGACTGTCTTTATTAACAAAAACTCCAGTACAATCCAGGTATGAGAGACCTAGTTCTCTCCAATGCCCAAAGGCCCTGATCCACTCTCAATTCACAAGACATCTCTTTCTTAACCTCTCTTATTATTTATAGGCAACATCCCTAAACAAATTTAGCTATCTATGTAACTAACAATCTGTTTGTAATTAACTAACTAATTCATGGCTATCTTTAAATACTCCCCCAAAAGCTTCAGTTTGGCTCTTCATAATTGTATCTTCAATGATGCATTGGCTTGTTTCAATTGGATATTAAAAAATCTTCCTACATGGCGACTAGGAGGAGATTTCCATGGAGTAACCTCCTAGGTTCTCTGCTCAGGGGGACTCAGATCTTCTATGTAAATGATGAAATCTTTATATGACCTTAAATAATCACCTCAAGCTTGGTTAGGTAGGTTCAACAAAGTCCTTCAATAGTTTGGAATGATTCATTGTAAAACAAACGACTTTTTTTTTTTTAGATGTTCACGATCAATTAGATATATTTTAGTTTATATCGATGATGATGATCCTGTGACTATAGTAGACAACCAAGAAGGCATTAAGACTCTTAAAAAACACTTATTTGAGCATTTTTAGACTAAGTATTTGGCCAATTGAGTTACTTCATTGGGATTGAAGTAGCTCAATCCAAGACAATGCCAATTCCCATAGAAAGTATGCTCTCAACATTTTTGAAGAGCCGGGAATTCCAAATTGCTGGCCAATTGAGACCCATATGGATCCAAATGAGAAGCTTCTGCCTATCCAGGGGGAGCCCTATCCTGATCCAAGGAGATATTGCTGACTAGTGAAAATTTTGAATTCTTTCAACATGATAAGGCCTTATATATCCAATCCAGTTTTCATGACAGGACTAAATATAGAGAAGTCAATTGTTGTTTCATCAAAGAAAAGATCCTCTCCAGAATCAACAACTTCCTCTGTTTGCTCCAAGGATCAGCTAGTCAACATTTTCACTAAATCTTTACAAGGTCCTAGGATAACATATTTGTACAAGCTGAATGAATATGAAGTAATGCTCCAGCTTGAGGGGGAATGATGGGATATCATCCAGATTAAATATTATTCAGTTTTGAATTTGCATTCCTTGATTTTATTCTTTCCTAGTTTCCTTATATAGCTTATCCAAATCCTTGAACTATAGGGATTGATTCTATTGTCCATGTGTACAAATATTGTACAACCACAAATGATGTAATGCAATATACAAGTTTTACTATCCTGATTCAATGTTTCAAATGACTTCAAGTTAGTCATAAAACCATGTTTCAATCAAAGTGCACTAGAACATATTCCCATTAAAAAAATTTAAACCAAATTAAAATCTACACCAAAAATGAAGACAGAGATAATAACTTGTAGCTCAGTCAAATCCATACCAGCAAATAAAAAAAATCAATGCACCACAAAGTGAAATACCATTGTATTTTATCTACAAAAACAAAGCAGAAGCAACTAAAGAGGTTTAAGAACCTTGCATGAGCAAATAGAGCTTTGGCAATAACAAGTAACGTGGAAGAAAAGACAAGGATGTTTATATTGCATTGCAACTCAGCAGCGAGTCCCCTTAAAATTTCCAAAACTCTTGCTTTGGCCTTGGCATTTGCTTCATGGTACCTGAAACAAATAGTTTTAACAGCATAAATGATCATGAAAAGAAAAAGTAAAAACACAAGTGTTTGAAAAAAAATTTTTTAAAAAATAATAGTATAGGATTCTACTGTTTTCTAAAACAGCATACCTTGTTAACGCAGCCTCCACCTTTGGTGTGGTAAACCATTCCTCGCCTACCTTTCTACCTTTAGAATCTAAAGCATGCTTAAGCTGTTTAATTTGCACCTCTCCAGGGCTACCAGCCCACAGAGTTGGTGTAAAGCGTTTGCCTTTGAACCAAATTGCCTCATGCTCCCGAGCATAAGATATTTCCCCCTTAGGACCTCCTAGTGGGGCTACAGTAGCCCTTATTCTAGAAACAATAGGAACAAAATCTTCAGTGACCTGCAAGATTGTTGGGAAAAGATTAATGAAACATAAACATGTCTCTCTAAACATACTTTACATGCAAACAGCTACTGGCAAGATTGAGTTAGAGAGGACCCACTGCTAAATGCAAGGCCGCGGCTGCTTTTTCTACTGCAGTATATACATCATCAATGTGGATTCTTTTTATTCGACCTTTCCATTTAGACTCCATATCCTCAAAAAATTCATTAGGAATAACAGAGAAGGAGCTGACTTTCTGATCATTCCCACCATCCAGAGAGATTATTTCCCCAATCTTCCTAGATGCAACTTCACATCCCGCAACCTGTAAGAAGATATCATTAGGGAAGTCTACAATCCAATGAAATTTGAAGGAAACAAATCAACAAAGAAAGTCATTCTTATAATAGTGCTTGGAATTCTGATGAAAGTCTAGAAAAATGCAATTTCAAAATACATATAAAATCATCACGTTTAAAAATAACTTTTATTGTAATTGAACAATCCAAGGAGGATAAAAACTGAGTCATACTGACAGTTAAAAAACATAATGCTACGTAGTTATATTTGTGATAGAAATTTAGCATAATTAGGACATGTACATTCAGACAACTGTATTTATATGATAGCTATAAAATTAGCTAGATCATCAATAAGAGACCAAAGTACAAACCTAGACATTCTATTTCATTTGAAGACTCTTATATGATATAATAGCCCCCAAAAGATGGAGTTTTAAGCGAGTATACAGATGAACATTCCAAACTATATGCAATTTACCATAACCAAGATAATGTGTGACGTTTGACTCAATCAAGCAGCCGAGTTTTTAGGAACTCTTAAGTGCATTATATGCAAAGCAAGGAAGCATAAAAGCAATGAAGAAGACATATGCCACAAGTTCAGTACCTAACTGCAGAACATAAGGAAGTGGAAGTCTGCAGATGCAACAAGTTACCACTACTTCTCGGTTTTCATCAAGGAGTTCCTTTCATTTCCTCACTTACCCCTTTTTAAATACCAAATATTTCAATGTTCTAATGAAAATTCAATGCATTAAAATTAGGAGCATCAGGAATAGCTATAGAAATAAACAATAAAAACATATTTAGGCAGGGATGGGGTAGTCTGGAGATTGGGAGGGAGTGTAGCTTAAGAAAGATGATGACTAGTTTAACAATGCTTCTCAATTTGTCTTCAATCCACATCTAAATGGGTGTAAACTATCCCTTCTTTTTATTTGAACAGAGTGAATTTAGGCCTCACCAAGGTTTCAAAGTCAATTTCCAACCCAGTTGCCACCCATGTGGGATCAATTAAATGTTTCAATATTTCATTAAGCTCAGAAGTTCCGTACATCTGCAAAACGTCATCGAGTACATTCTTTATTCTACAAAATTCCATATGATTGACCTCCCTCCATTCAAGTAGCTTTACAAGCTGCAGAAATACAGTTAATAATCAGACAGGAAAAATACAAGTGCGACAACAACAGAATGGTTAATAAAAAAAAAAGTGTAAGATCCCAAATGTTAAAGATACGAAAACACTAAAAAATCAGAACGAAAAAGAGGACCTTTCAAATAAAGAGATGGAAAAAGGGACATTGGATCTTTCTACAACCCACTTGTCACAGGATTTCACTTCTTCCTCCTAATTTCTATCTAACTGCTTCTCTAGGTCTGTACCCAGACCTGCATCCACCTATCTTCTGGACCAGCATTTTCAGTGCTTCCCTGGTTTCACAGTTTTCTCTCTCCTTTCTTAATTACCTTTCCTCCATTCTACACTGCAATTCCTATACCAGCAGTCGCAGATCCTTGAAAAGTGCCTCAAGATCCCAGTTGGTGACACCCAATGAGCTCAATAACTATCTACAGCCCCAGGTAATGGGGCTATGATACCAACTGAAAGAAATTGGTTTAGATATTAGGAAGAGTAGGGAAGAACTCCCAATTTACAGAATAGGATACACACTCCACCGATACAGAATAGGACACATACATCACAGAATCTCAAGGGTCTGCACCTCCCAATGCCAAAAGACTCTAATTTCCTCTCACAAATTTCAAGACAGTTCCCACTCAGTCCACTCTACTTACTTGTAGACAGCATACCTTAATCAAATTATCTCACCCATCTAACTAACTCACTGATGTAATTAACAAATAACTAATTAACCTGTTGTGGCTAACTACTAATGAGTAATGAAAACATTGTAACTTTGAGATTACGAAAAATGGATAACTAGCATATCATAACTAACTACTAATGAGGGTTCCTAACATTTACATGGATAAACAGATATATAAAATCTTCATACCCTTTTATTTCCAAGCCTGACATATGTCTTAACTTAACTCTAAAGAAGAAGAGGAACCGAAAAAACTAGCCTTCAAAAAAGGAAGTGCTTGAATAAGGCATGAACAATAATTATTTGCAAAAAATCATTATAAGCACATTTAAATTGCAATCCATCATGTTGAATTTTGTAAACAAAGTAAAACAACTAATTTTCATTTCTATGGAAACTTGATAACACCATAACCCACATAAAGTACCATTTGAAGCTCATTCACAATTCACAAATAATTTAATAACAACCTTTGCTGAAGAAACACACGTAAATTCTGGAATTGAGCATGTTACACGACTCATAAGTTTGCATGACGCTGCCAAACAAAAGCAGAAGAAAATGAATCCAAAATTAAGTAAAAATTGTCATCACTATAATGGTATTATTAGTAAGGGTTAAATTAAATATGCTTTTGGTCCCTACATTTTTGCAAGATTTTGACTTTGATCACTTAAAACTTTCTTTTGATTTTAATCCCTAATTTATCAAAATTCAATGCTTTTGTTGCCTAATGATGATTCCAAAAAAAAAAAATCAACATATGGCACAAAAAAAGACGTGGCAACATCTTAGTTGGCTACATAATCTGTTCGGGATCAAAAGCACTGAATTTTAAAAATTGGGAACTAAAACCAAAAGAAATGGTTTTGAGGAACAAAAATCAATATCTACCGAAAATGTTGGACCAAAAATATGTTTAAGCATATATTATTATACTACTGTACAGTAAAAAATTGAGATCAAATGTACATTGTATGAAGAAAATTTAAGAGGCACATCAAAATTATTATTGAAAATCACCTTGAATTTTGGATGCAATCTCGTAGGAAGGAGGATTCAAAAGAAGATCCCTTATATACCTAAGAACCACAATAAGCATACAATGACAAACTTGGTATTGGGTCTGTAATTAATTGATACAAGACGAGCTATATTGAATTATTAAAACTAAAATAAAAGGGAACAACTGAAAAGGGGAAATAAGCAATTTAAATTAAAGATTTTAGTACAATTGAGACAATGAATTATACAATTGGACATTCCAAAAAGAAATATAAAGACTTTTAGAAGTTATATCTCTATACAACAAAATAATATACCCACATCCTACAACAAGGCTAACTTGGTGCTGAATAAAATCCCTTTTAACTTTTTTCCCTTTTCTACAATTCTTTTAGGAGCTACGGGGGAAAAAAGAAGCTTTTGAGTGCAAAATGAAAAGGAAAGAAAAATAAATAAACCATCTCGTACAAGAAAGAGTGCAACGCAAAATGCAACCACAGGAAGTTATTATACTCCCAAAAAAATAATCTAACTGTCATTCATAAAAAGTAAAGATTAATAATGAAAAGGCATAGATTCAGGTTTCAAACAGATTGTGTGCAGTGATACACAATGAAAAGGATGAATATATAAAAAAGAAAAATTAAAAGGGTTAGTTGAATAAGTACTAAATACACCACAACAAGAAACAAAAGGAATCCTTTACTCACAGTACTGGTAATCCATTGCAAGTTGGAGGAAGTAAGACCTTCAACAAAGAAGGTATTCCTTCAGTTGGTATAGCACCTAAAAATATGAGAGGCAAATTTAGGAAAAAGAACATAACCAACAGGCATTCATTAATATTAATATACCAACCAATTTGAGTAGATGTTCCAAGAGTTAAAGGTCGAGCCCTATTTCCTGAAGACACAGTTGTGTTCCGAAATGTAACCTCACAATCAAGACCATAAAGCTCCTTTACCTATGTTCCAAAGTGAAATATACATGTAACAATTTTGAATGACTCATTACATATACAACACATTCAAAATAAAAAAAAAATGTAAGAGACATAATTTTTTCAAATCATACCTTGACCAAAAGATCAGAGACAGGGTTGCCATCAAACCATTCAAAATGTCTAGAACTGCATTCTCCCCACAAGAGGCCCCCCTCACCAAATTCTCCCCAATGGCAAGTTCCTAGAAAAACACTAAAATACTTAACACAGAAGTAAACTACAAATATGCTATAAATAATTTTTATATCTAACAAGGATCTCTGTATATATATATTCTTTTGCACAAACACCTTTTTCTTATAGAAAAATTCTCTAAACACCACAATTACAGTAACAACGATCATGTAATTAAATGTCTTTTACAATTTTTATGAAAACATATATATATATATATATAGATGGACAGGATCAAACTATACAAGATGTCAAACTTAGTTAAATGATACCTATAATAACTTTTCATCAATCCAACCAATGAATTTAAAATCTCAGAAAGTAGATCAACTCTACAAAGTTTCACATTATTTAAATTAAAATTTGATTGATACTTCATCATTTCACTTTATTTTAACATGTGATATATTATTTAAAAATGTAAATAAATAGCTACATTTTAATTGCATATCTACAAATGTCTGAATTATGTAAAGTCATTGAAGGTGTCATTTCAGTAAATTTTTGACACCTGGTATCACTTGATCTAATCTCACACACACACACACAAATAACTACATACAAAGGAATATGAAAATCTAACGGTATGATTTTTGCTATATCATTTATACAATGTAACCATGCGTACCAAAGTTAGACCTAATTTTTTCTATAAGAAAGTAAAGAAAGAAGGATGAAGTACAAACCACAAGAATTTCGCCTCAAAGATGTGTGCAGAAATAAGTGATGATATTGACATGTACGAAGCTTTGCAACGACTGCTTCTTCTGTCAAGCAGTCTTCTAAGGAATACGTCTTCATGGTCTCTAGTACCATGTTAATGCAATAGCCCCTTGCAGAATGTGATATTCCTACAATAAAAATATATCATTGAAATTTATTGCTCAAATGCAATAAAAAGATGAAAAACGACACCGCCATGGCACCCCCACTGAAAACTGCCATTTTTGCCATGGTCATGGTGGTTTGGTTGAAAAACGCCACCGCTACCCACCATAACGGTTATTTAACAACATTGAAGCATTCAGCATTATGAAAAATTGAGCATTACAACAACATCCATAACTGCCAACATGACAGTTATTATTACACTTACATTGAATAATACATAACAGCTCATTACAGTTATTGTCAGATCCCACGACCTAGCAATCACATATTCAAATGAGAAATCCTTCTGAATTGCAACATAAACTTATATGGTTGTTCCACTAAACATTCCTCTAGAAAAAAAAAAATCCTTCTTGCTTTTCTAAAAATACAGAATTAAAATAATCTAGGCTGAGCCTACCCTAATTATGGAAACAAAAAAGGAAAGAGTGAGGATATTACTCGTAAACTACAGTAGCAAACAATCAGGATACAATTAGATTTACAAACATTTTTACAATATTTACAGTTAATCACATTAAATGATGATTTCCATCACCAAGATTCTCTCCAACGCTCCCTATCAAGCTGTTCAATAGATATTAAATTCCCAGCTTGCTAAATAAGAATTAAACCCAAGTACTGATAAGGCACCGGTGAGTATATCTGCTTCCTTATGTCCTGTTTGAAACTTGAAAAGAGAATTTTACTGAATCATATTAATCTGATAATCATTGCATGTGAGAATCTACATTATATAGAGTATAGACTAATCCCTATTATTACTTGCCTATAATAAAGCTAATGATAGGTCACAAATCTGTGCTAATAAAAGATAATTAAGAAATGAAGCTGTTAGCAAAAATTAAGAAATGATAACTGTCAACATAAAGGTTACTGTGAGAAAATTATGATTCTATTTAGTAGTATAAATATGAATAAATAAATTAATAAATAAATACCTACTACAGGCATTGGTTCTGGAAAGTTAAGATCATGATCAACTGCAGCAAGTCCATATACATATGGATTTCCAGGATGAGCATGCCTGAAAGTTACAACACTCTCTCAGCCACATGGCATATTTGGAAAATACAAAAATAATTTATGAGAAAAATTATATGCAAAAGAAAATATTGCATTCCATGAGCTCTAATTCTATAACCAATAAATGTGATGTAAAATATGGCTATAACAAAATACACACAATATTATGCACAAGCATGCCAAAAGTAGTTGGTTCGGCTGGTAAGATCAAAACACAACAAATAGACTAAAATAGAAGTCTAAGCTAATTAAAATTTACGAGTGAGAATTTCAAGAAAAGAGAATTGTGCAAGGTCGATTAAAACAGTAAAAGAGGTCTAAAAAAGAAAATTCCCTCATCACCACTACCATCATCATTATTATTGGCATGTCCAAAACAAAATCTTTGTACAAACCACATCTGATCTGTTTTTCCAAATATAACCTGAGTCTTTTTTATGATTGACTTACCAGCTTAAATAAGCATTGAGGAAGCCCAACTTGAGTAATAGAGAGATGTAGTATCAAAACCAAAACATGAGGTATTTAGGTGATCTTTTGATATAGCTAAAAGTTGTCGCTAATCTATGTGCATAGTATAATGATTGTAGAAAGCCAAGTAGAGTAATCACAAAGATGATTTCCCCAATATTTTAAGTTAAATAATAGAAAGCCATTTTTCCATTGACAAACCTGTAAATGTTGCATACAGATGCATATTTCATCGCTGAAATATATTTTAAAGTATTTGACAACATACATCATATATAGCACAAACAATATTTAACAGTAGAGGGTTCAATATGTGTCAGTAGGAATGTGGGAAGAAGCTTAGGCTTACAAATGCCTGATTTAGATCTTGCCTACATGGGATGATTATTGAATGGATGAGGGGATGGTGAAGAAGCTTAGGCTGCGCCTGCATTCTAACATGGATGAAGATTTTTCAGAAGCAGTGAAAAAGGACTGATCAGAATCATAACAAGTTGACAAGAAGAAGAGTGCACAGTTGGAGTCAGATTTAAAGATGAGTGAAGGGTTGGAATGATTGCTAGATTGTTGGTAGCGTTGAAACTATTTGAAATCATTTCTACTAGGAAAGTTATAGGTTGGAGAATGTGTATTTATCATATGAAGATAAAGAAACTAGGAAAGACCATCTCCCCCTCCCATTCATTAATCAGATGGTTAAGAGACTAGCAAAACACTGTTGTTTCAGTTACTTAGATGGTTATTCTGATTTTCATCAAATTCTTATTCAGCCTAATGACCAAGAGAAGACCACGTTCACATTCTCCTATGGCACCATTGCTTATACGTGAATGCCTTTTGATTTGTGTAATGTCCCTACTACTTTTCAGTGTTGCATGCAATCCATATCTCCTAATTACAATGAGTATATTATGAAAATATTTATGGATTTTTTTCAATTTATAAACAATTTTGACAATTATTTGGCTAACCTTTCAAGAGTTTTGTAGAGACATTAGGAAGTCAATCTTATTCTAAACTAAAATAAATGTCAATATATTGTAAGAAAGGACATTGTTTTAGGACAATATCTGATAGAGCAAATGAGGTGGACAAGGCCAAGTTAAAAATTATTGAGAAGATGTTGCCACAAACTCATGTTAAGGAAGTGAAGAGTTTCCTAGGACACGCCGATTTCTATAGGCATTTTATGAGAAATTTTTCTGAAGTTGCAAAACATCTTACTAATCTCTTGATTAAAGATGTTTCTTTCAACTTTGACCAAGAATGTTTGAATATATTTTGCAAATTGAAGGAAGCATTAACCTTGACTCCCAAAGTTCAAGCTCCATATTTAGATTTTTCCTTTGAGTTGATTTTTTATGCAAGTGACCATGCCATTGGAGCAATGCTTGTACAAAGAAATAATGAGTTGCATGTCATCTACTATGCTAGCAAGATTCTAGGTGAGGCCCAAATAAATTACCAACAGAAATGGAGCTACTAGCAGTGGTATTTGCTTTAGGATTCCTTTTCTTTCCTATTATTTCTTGTTCTTCCCCCATGTTTCTATTCATTGCTTTGGCTTGTAATCAAATCATGACTGAGTAGTTTTCTCATTCTAAAAATTGGGAATAATTCAAATTACGATTGATGACAATTTTTTAATATTTCATGACCATTTGTTAAACTTGATTGCTTTGATTCAATTTTTGGTGCTCTTAATACTTGAAAATTTCTCAGGCCCTTTATTTGCATGATATTAAACATTAACACTTTGTTTGAGTTTGGAGAAAGAGAGAGAAGGGAAAGGTTTGAGAGATAAGTAAAGAGAGGAGAAGGATGGGAGAAGGGGGTTAACAAAAAGACCCCCCCAAATTTGAAGGAACTTAAGAACATGAATATGAGTTTATAGGAGTTTTAGCAGGTTTATAAAAACTCCTTCACATTTAAAAACTCCCAAACAAGGATTACTATCAAATAAATCTTTCACTTCCCTCCTTAAAATTAACTCTCAAACAAAGCCTAAAGCAAGGAATGAAAGGTAAAACATTGTCATTGAAAACTCCAAAATTGAACTTCAGATTTTAGAACACGAAATTCAGCTAGGTTTCTCGAGGAATCACTGAATCACTATATAACTTAATGAGTTTAACTAAATATAATTACCACGAAATTAAGAATTAGTCTATTTAAATACATTATTGTATTATGAAAGGGAACAATAATCACTTTAGAGTTATTCGCCTTCAAGATAAGTGAAGAATTAACATAAGGTCTATCATGGTTAAGTTCACCAATTCTAATTTATATTGAAACTAATTCTTAGAAGTTGCTTAAAATTTGAATTTATCCGTTTTAAATTAATTTGCACTCTTTATTCTCTCTCTCTGTCTTTTCTATATTTCTTTATCTTATCTCGATGATTAAGTGCATCACAATCTGCATCAGAAACGAATCTTGGAGGAATGCAGTTGCAATTACAAAGTTATGAAGCCTGTGTGCTTTGATTAGTCCTTAAACTTACTCTTTCCATGGCAAAAAGTTCACATCGAGTTTCACAAAGGCACTGAGAAGCTGATCAAAGTTGCAAAGGAAGTGGAGTTATATTCTAGGGCCATGAAAATGGATAAAAAAAACAGCTCTAGATAGTATAACATGATACAAAATAGAGAAAAGTTGTTAAAATTGTGAGAAAATCAAAGAAAGTGAAAGAGAGAATTCTGAGAGAGAGAGAATTAAAACAATAGATATGAAAATGTGATTTTGTTATTTCATAAACTAATTTATACAAAACTCAACTATAGATGGTTAGGTAGATAAGATGACTCGGTTACAGCTAAGCAGTAAGTGTAGACAGATGTAAAGTAACTGTACCTAATGTAGAAACTGTAAAAAAGCTATATTAACAAACACTGTAGTTTACAGTTATAACATAGTAATTTGACAATTACTCCAATAACCATCTAGCTTATTTTCAATTTTGAGATGGGTTTTTGTCTGAATGTCTGTTAAACTTAAAGAAGATGCCTTAATCTCTGTCCATATAACCCTTGCTTCTTTCTATCAATCAAATAGTTTTACCCTATCAAAAGAGAAAAGGCACATAGAAACATATCCACAAATCATCAACTTTCTAGTCACAGATAAAACAAACAATAATAAAAGAAAGCTTTATCAATAGACAGCACACACACAAAGACCACTGGCATATAGAGAATGTTGTACTTACCCAGATATAAAGCGGCGTTTCCTGGATCGAGCTTGAGTTGGACCCTGAACTTCCTCAACGATGCACTGTTGAGACCAAAATTTATTAGCAGCATGTATTCATAAACAGGTAAGTTGGCAAGCATCATAACAATTTACAAGCATAAATGAATAAATAGGGGTTAGTCATTTTGTGTTTCATTTTGAAGCTACAAACTAAAAGGAAAAAGGGTAAAATAAGTCATGAAATGATAAAATTTAAATTAAATAAAAGATAACATAGAACACTATTTAATTGCTCCACTCACCACTGAATAACCATTTCTTGTCAGATCATCCAATGTCTGTCGAAGATTCTATGACCAAAGAAAAGATCAAAGGCATTGTTTAATATATCAGATATATGTTCACAATTATCAATACAAATTAAATTTCATGAGAAAATAAGCATATCTAATCACAGCATCAATATAAATGTTTGTCAACAGAAGATAAAAATATAGTGTGCTCAAAAGTAAGAATGCCAATACCACAACAGGACAACCAGCTCTTGGAATGCTATCTGATCGCAGACCACCAAAGGGATTTAAACCAGCATATTCAACAAGAATACAAGCATCTATTCCACAAGCTTCATAGAAGTCCCCAACCTGAGCAGAAATTTAATAAGAAAATGAATAAATAAAAGATACCAAGGGAAGTTTACTTCATGAAGGGTAGAAATCGAGTAATGTCGGGGAGCCACCAAAGGAGCAAACAAATTTTATTGAGAATTGGCAATTATGCTTCCTTCAAACTCAAATTGCAAGAGCACCAAAGTCTGACCAAACACTCAGCAAATGGTTTATATTTACATACTCGGCAGAGCAAAACTTGACGTGGAAATTTTAACTTGAACTGCAACATTTCCCAGTTGAGCGTTCCTTCCTTCAGACTACACAAATGAAAAGATTCTCCATTAACTTTCTTACAATAGTACCATCCCTTGAACAAAAGAATATGGAAGTTCAACTATTTGCAACCTTATGGAAAAATAGCCAGTGTAAATGGCTACAAATAAAGGATTATGATTATCAACTAAATAAAGTCATAAATTGCATTCTTGTTGACATTGATCCAGTAGTTGTGAGCTTGTGTCTTAACAGCAAAGAATTTACCTGTATTGCAACTTATGTAGGGGAAATAAATCTTTTTTACAATAAAAGGGTAGAATACAACATGCCAATAGTTTGAATGTAAACGTGCACCCTGTAAAAGTCCCAATAAATCTGTAGATAAATGCTAAAAAACAATGCAACAAAAGTTTTCATATTTCAGTTTAAAAAATTAAAAGAAAGTATAAAGCAGTAGCCTCAATTTCATAAGTGCTCACCTTCCATTTTTCAAGCTGGAATCCAAGCCAAGCAAATTAGAATATTCAAGCCTTTCAACTAGCTGGACAGCTGAAGGCTTTCTGCACATCTGCAACTTCTGCCATAATTTTGAAAGGAAACAAGAGATAGAACAAAAAGTTTCTCTAAATATCCCTCGGTTTAGAAGCCAAAAAAAAAAAAAAAAACTAACTTTTACACAACAAATTCAAGAATAGCTAATTTTGAAATTTAACTAGATGGAAAAAATAAATAGACCCACCTCTTTCCACCATAATATGTGAGGAAGATCTTTATCATCTAAAACATTTTTGGGCACTTTGAGCTTCTTGGTGACCCTACTACTGCCTCTTACAACCTTCTTATCCGTAAAACACGATATGTTCTGTACATGCCCATTTATTCTGTTCGTCAACAAGATTCATAATTTAGATGCCACACCACTAGAGAATAGATATTGAGATCAGAATATAATGATAATAGCATAACTTTTCTCAACAAAGTCAGAGACTATCCTTCTTCATGTTTCCAAGTACAGTGCATTTGCACAAAAAGATAATTAAAGAAGCCATTAAAGACGAATGATATTCATTACGCGTAATAATAATAATAATAATAATAATAATAATAATTCAACCAAAATGTGTCGATAAAGCGAATATAATAAAACACTAAATCTAAATGATATGATATAAGATATGAAACAAAAAATGAGAGAGATTACCGAAATAAGCGATAGGGAACGAATGATAGGAAAATGGGAGACGGAGGAGAACGAAAGAAGTGAGCAAAAGAACGCCAACGAGGCAAGGTAACGACGACGTTTCTGGTGGCTAGCCTGTACATTCTGAAAGGATGACACCAAAGGAAGAGAACGACGAAACGAGAGAGAGAAAGTGGGAGCAAGAATGTGGTTCCCGCCACACACAAGCAGGAAGGGTTTTTGACAAAAATGAAACCGAAACTGTGCAGTGTGTCTTGTCTCCTTGTCTTCCCTCTCTTTCTTTCAAGAAATTCTATTCTTTTAAATTATTATTTTATTTAAAATAATTTAATTTTAAAATTGTATATAAATATTTATTAATTTTACTTTTCTATTTATTTTTATTTACTTTATTTTTAAAATTAATTTTAGTATTTAATTTAACTCCACAATATATATATATATATACTAAACAATATATTTTATATTCACATGATTAAATAATTTATAAAATAAAAAATGATTTAAAAAATATTTAAGAATTCTTCATCATTAGGTTCTTCAGTCTTAAGCGTTAAAACATAGGTAGTAGTGAGAGCAGTGAATATATTGGTCAACCCAAATAGTGGTCTCAGTAGTAAATCTTTGTCTTAAACTTTAAATACGTTAGTCAAAATGGTATCGTAACCTAAAGTGTTAACCTGAAGATCAATACCAAATATGTCATTTATAATTAGATCTGTTAGGTCAATTTTAGAAAGTACTAGACAAGGCATAGAGATAAGAACACAAAGTAGAGATGCACGAGCTTCTCTGTTCAAACAAAATCTCTCAATAGGACAAATAGAAAACTTATTACATATTTGGTCTATACTAGAAATAAAACCTTCAAAAATTTATAAATCAAGGTCTCTTTGGGAATCAAGACTAGATGAACAAATACATGTAGTACAATACTCACAACCAGGAATCACAAATAATAAAGAGATCCAACTCTTAGAAAATGAATTACTAAAAACACATGTATAAGATGAATACCACTTTGTTCACCTAGGATTAATTCAAGTTGCAATTAAACCTAACTATAGGATAGGAGTTAATATGCTTATTCTTATATTACTATAGGATATGAGATTATACAGAATACAAGACTTAATACTAGCAGCTTTAGAAAATAATCTTCATGATAATTCTGTCCTATTTAATTGTTACCCTAATTTTTCAATGAACCTAGATAACGAAAAAACAGCAAAAGCTATAAGAATTTTTATAAATTCTCCAATAGATGTTATAGATAAGTCTACAAATCCTTTTCACATAATTTACAGAGTATGTTATAAAGTTTCAAAAGTAAACTATAATTTCAAAGCTTTAAGACAAACAAAGAAAATAGAAATAATAATGGTAAAAGCAAACACAAAACGAAGTCTAGTACAAACTCCCAAACCGCTTAGCCAAGAAGAACTAAGTAAAAGAATTCCAAAAGAATGAATTATAAAAAAACACAGTAGAAACGCCCAAAATCCACAAAACAAATATAAGAGAAATTATACAAGAAGGGTCAACTATTTGTCATAGAATGAACAGATCTAATTCTTTTAATCAAAACAGACCCTTAATAATAAAAGAACTATCTAGAAATTCAGTAGATAACTCTACTATTAATCTAGGCTTAAGAGGACTAGACAACAATAGTAGACCATGAGTTTCTATTTCTGTTTATGAAAATTTTGAAGAAGACTCAAATTTTAGCCCAACAACATCACAAGTAATCGATACTCTAACAAGAGAAGAACCTTTTGTTATAGATAAAGCTTGGATTAAAAAAGACTTAGATGCAAAATACAACAAAAAGAAGAAAGAGTGATTTTTCTCTACTTATTCAAATACACAGCGGGTAGAATTTAGAGAAAAATTTTATAATTATCTATATCAAATAGAAATTCATATCTACTTCTTTGACTAGTTAGAACAACACCTAGGTAAAGCATTTCCTTTTTCAAAAGAGATATGTCCAATAGGGGCAGTTAAAAAAATATGAAAAACTACAACAGGGAAAGAAATCTTTTTAGAGTAGCCCCACTCGAAAAAATAATGATACAAAGGAATGAAAATGTAGAAGCATCACCTTTTAAGAAAGTCAATCCGCAAGAAAAATAAATTGAGAAAAATGATATTAGCAAATTACATCAACAAATGAACTTTACTAATACTGTATTAGGAGTTACTTCAGAACAATTAATTAGAATTGAAGATATGCCTGAATCCTGTAGAAAAAGGAAAGCTTAGAAAAACTCATTCTAAAAATAGGTACACTACCTAAAAAACAATAGAAGCTCTAAGAAAAAACAGTAGTCTAGAACTAGACATAGAGTAACTAAAAACAAAAATATCACAATTAAGTTTAGAAAAAAAACTTATATAAATACAATAGAAATAAATAAGTTGAATACGAAATACAGTCACCCAAAAATTAAACCATATTATAATATGTCATCCTTACTAGATATACTTTTAGAAGAAAAAGGAAATTTTGTACAAAATTCTTATACTGAAAATGATTTAATAGAATGGAATCTAGATGGATCAAGTGAACAAGCAATCTTAAATTTTACCATACAAATGGTTATGACAACCACAACATATAAAATAAGAAGAATTAGTGTTAAAACTATAGTAGAAACAATCGTTCAGGGATTTACAGGACAATTAAGAAGATGGTGGAAAAATATGTTATCTACGGACAATAAAAATGCGATATTAGTACATGTTAAACAAGAGATCCAAGAAGAAGATGCAACATTCACTCTTATTTTTACTATAATACAACACTTTATAGGAGATTCCAATATTTTTCAAGAACGAGTATTTCTACAATTAGTGAATCTTAGATGACCAACTATGTCTGATTATCCATGGTATAAAGACATGTTTTTATCAAAAGTAATATTGAAAGAAGATGTGGCAGCTAGGTTTTAGAAAGAAAGGTTCATTGTCGCTCTTCCACCATTATTTGCACAAAAAGTCATTCAAAATCTAGAAACAAAGTGTAAAGGGGGTACAATCTCTTATGAACAACTAACTTATGATCAAATACATAATATAATTATGGAAATAGGCATAAAAATATATACAGATACAAAACTACAAAACCACTTAAGAAAAGAAAAAATAGGAAACCAAAAAGAGATGGGTTCTTTCTGTCAAGATTTTGGTTTTCAACCTATTAGAGCACCTAGCAAGCAAAACAGAAAAATTAAAAAATAGTTTCCTAAAAAATCAAATTATGAAAACAAGCAAAGACAACAAAAGTCTTTTTATAGGCCAGAACGACAAGATAAATCACAAAATAAGAAATAATAATTGTTGGAAATGTGAAAAACCTGGTCACATTGCAAAAAACTACTGGGTACAACAAAAAATTAACTCTTTAGAAAATGAAGAGTTAAAATTAATATTACAAAGGATAATGATAAACTCTGAAACCGAACCTAAAAGTTCAGAGGATGAATTTGAAGAAGATAACTATATTGAAATATATCAATTAGATAATTCTTATGATACAAGTTATGAAGAGCAAAAATAGTTCCGTTTAGGACCAGGATCATGTGACTGTAATGACTGCACCAGTCCGCAAATAAATATGTTGACCTCATATCAAAGAGGAGTCTTAATATCCATTATAGATAAATTAGAAGATTCTTCTTTAAAAACTGAATTTGTTAGTAAACTCAATGAACTAGTACAAAAAACAAAATAGGTTACTGAAGAAATAAAACCAATTGAAATGAAAAAAAATATTATCTATATTTAAACAAAACCAAAATCAAACAACAATAAAAGACTTACAAAATGAAATTATGTGGATAAAACAAGAAATTACAAAATTAAAATAAAATTAGCTAACTTTAGAATATAGGCTAATGGCGCTGGAAGGAAAACAACCAATAGAAGAACATACCAAAATAACAAAAGAAAAAGAGCCAAAAATCTTTCAGATGCAATTATTAAATTTAATTACTACTCATAAGTGGTTATGTGAAGTGGTTTTAGTAGTAGAAAAAGAAAATTCAAGTTCATTGCATTAATAGATTAAGGTGCAGATGTAAAACTGCACACAGGAAGGGTTGATACCCACAAAATATTTTGAGAAAACTACAGAAAGAGTAACCAGTGCTAATGGTAGTAAAATGATGGTTAATTATAAATTATCTTATGCAAAAATTTGTAAAGACAAGATATATTTTACAACATCTTTTGTAATAATAAAAAATTATGAACAATCAAATAATTTTAGGAACTCCATTCTTAACCTTACTATACCTTTTACAAATTAGTAATATAGGGATTACTACACAAACAGTTCCAGGAAAGATAATTATCTTTGAATTCCTAAGGGCCCCTAAAACAAGAGAACTCAATTTGTTACAAGAATTTTTTATAAAAGAGATAAATATGATAAATAGAAAACAAAAACAAATAAAATTCTTTCATAAAGAAATTGAACATAAAATAATTGAAGAACAATTAAAGTCACCAAAAATTTAAAAAATAATAAAATATTTTCAAGAAAAAATTGAAAAAGAAATTTGCGAAACAAATCTTGTGGCCTTCCATTATAGAAAACAACATGAAATAAGTCTTCCTTACAAAGAAAATGTTAATGAGAAAGACATTCCAACAAAAGCAAAACCAATACAAATGAATAAAGAATAGATTAAGTTCTACAAGCAGGAAATTCAAGAATTTTTAGAAAAAGGATTAATTAGACCATCAAAATCACCCTAGAGTTGTATAGGGTTTTATGTTAATAAAGTTTCAAAACAAGAAAGAGGAGCTCCGAGATTAGTTATAAATTATAAGCCATTAAACAAAATATTAAAATAGATAAGATATTATTTACCAAATAAACAAGATTTGATTAAAAAAACTAACCAAATATAATATATTTTCAAACCTTGATTTATAAATTTTTAAAGATTTTATTTCTACTATAGACCAATTATGTAATAAGTTTTCTATTTGTATCGTTGAGAGATTTTGTTTGGACAGAGAAGCTCTTGTATTTCCACTTTGTGTTCTTATCTCTATACGTTGTTTATTACTTCCTAAAACTGACCTGACAAAAATTAATTATAATACATTAAAAATAATTATAAAAAATTGAAACTTACAATAAATCAAATTATCTAGTTTAATTAAAAGACTTTCTATCTCCCTATGTGATAAAAAATATATATTAATTTTTAAATATATGATAATAAAAATAATGA